TCTTTGTAGTGAGGGCGGTTAAGCCTGGAACAGGTTTCCCAGAGAGCCAGTGGAATTTGCATTCTTGGAGATACTCAGAACTCAGCTGGACGGGGCCCTGAGCAACTGCATTTAAATTTGAAGCCAGTCATGCATTTATTAGGAGGCTGGACTGCAGACATCCAGATATTGCTTCCAACCTAAATTATTCTCTGAGTCTATGAAACTCAAGTAGTCTGCTACAGCAAGAGACTGCCCACCCTATACCAGAGAAAGCCTCAAAAGAGACTTAACCTGTATGATTTTTCTTAGGAGTCAAGAGCTGTCTCCCTGATCATTCCACACTATTCTTCAGGAGATGGGAAGCTGGGACCACTGGCAGAGAAAAGATCTGTTGAGAGACTGGATCTTTTATGATCTTATATCATGCAGACCTAGAGTCAGCAGACTCTGTTCACCATGAAGGGGACAACTTCAGCAATTCTGCAAAGTCAATATGTCTTGGAGTGGGGGAATTTCTCCTTTCCCTCATGGGATGTGTCTGCATGGATCCTTGCTAGTCAGACTCAGTGCAAAGGGCATAATTTGGCCTAGCTGGGAGAGCTTGGAAATTACTATAACTTGCATGTATGTTAAGTGGCTGAAGACAGTATTACAGCTAACATGGGCAGGCACTCATTAGAGCAGTATTTAGTTGAAAACAATTGCGTTGCTGCACTGCCTTCACTAAAAAAAAGGCAATCCCTCTTACCTCTCCATCCCCTGCCCTCAGTGGGAATATCTGATTATAGCCTTTTCACCCAAATTCCACACAGTTCCTCTTTCCTGATGCCAGAAGAAAGCATTTCACACAAAAGCAAAGATTTACAAAGAGGAGACAGGCACCATTGTGTCAGTGTGTTCCATGCCAACTTTCAGCAATCTTAAGAGTTTACAACAATCCAAATGATGTTTCTGTTCTTTATTAATGATATTTCCCAGCTGTTTCTGGTTTACAAAGAGAGGTCTGGTCCTTTGTTATAGGCTGTACCCTGTCACTACAGCAAGCCCCACAGGAGGAGTTCACAATGGGGTGCTTTGTAATTCACTCAGGCAGGAAGAGCACAGTCCCAATGAGAGGCTGCAGATACACAGAGTTTAAGTCTATGTATATTGATGTACAGTACATGTATATGTGTTGTGTATATATAATAAAAAGTAAGTACATGTTTAATCATACCTATGCACAAAATATTTGTCAACAGCCATGCAACCTAGAAGTACCTCAGGGTTTTGTCCTTTCTTTTGTAACGATAGTTCCCTTCAGTAAAGTTTTTATATCATCTTTATTCTTCATGCACTCATTATCTCATTCTTATCCTGACATGTACATTATGCAAACGTGCTTCACATTCACATAAGCCCTATTCTGAATATATTACTGCCTCCTCTGCAATGATTTCAGTGGGGGTTGCGGGTTTGTATGGGACACAGTACAAGGCCCAGTGCTGCTCAGTGCTTACTCCTCTACCTTAGGGTTTCTTTTGGATCTTTATCCCTGACTATGGGCTTGAACTTTGAATTGTGAGTAGGAATTGTTTCTAGTAGGAACTTTCTGTAGTAGTTTCTATCTGCAATTATTCTGTTTTAGATAAAATAACATGGATACAGGAATGGCAGTATTTGGAATTTAGGCTAAACTCCATATATTATGTTTCTTTTAACAAGCTTATCAAAGCTGCTCTGGCATTTTCCATTTACAAAGGGCAATGGCACATGTCAGAGCTCATAAACCAAAGGCATGTTTAAGAGCATCACTGGGCTGGACAGCCCTACTGCTTTTCTGAAGTCTTACAGAGCTATTAGCAATTGATTTACAGGACAGAAAGGTTCAATGGCTAAGACAAGTGAGAGGAAGCACAGGAAGAGTCCTAATGAGATCCAGAACTACTGTCACCTCAGTAATGTGCTAGTATTCAGCTCAAACTGTTATCAGGATGTAGATTTTTTACTGACTTTATAATTCCAACCTTAGAGGTCCTACTAGCCATATAAATGCGTATGAAAAGAAGCAACTCCCAAGAGCTAGGGTCATATGGAGGTGTATATTACTGCAAATAAAGATGGGGGAAAAATATGAGCAATGTAGCTGTCCAAGCTGTGATCTTCATGGATCTGTGAGCAGGTATTCACCCCCCAAGTGACAATGCTGTGATACTGATGTTTCTCTTTCACATAGATAAGTGCTTTTGGAGCTCTGTCACAAGGTGTAGAGCCTCACAAAGAAATGAATAGACAGGTTTAAATGTAGGGACATCAAGCAACCAGGCAGGAAATTATTCTGATTGTTTAATTATGGCATTTTGTGGAATCCTGTATACTCTGGGTCTTTAAAACTCCATGCCTGTTCCCATTAGAAAAGAAGGATCCCCAAGATCCAGAGCTTTCTGCCTCACATCTTTTTGCAGAGGAGAACAAGCAATAGGAGAGGTGAGAGGATGAGGTGCCATGTCTCAAGGAAAGCAAAATTTCAGAAAGAAAAGCAAGATTAAGCTTTTCCTCTCCAATAAGTGAGACACATAGCAAACTGTATCCTAGAGTTACAGATTTGTGTCTGAAATTGCAGGTATCCTTTCTCCTTAGCCCATAGATGTTCAGCAGTTTTTCTCACATGAAGGGGAAACAGACACATACAGAGCTTACACTTCTTTGTATTTCAGCACAGAAGGTGATCATACTTTCATTGTTGCTTTTCATTGTGGAGTCTAAAATTTCCTGACATTTGGACTGACCATCGCTTGCAGAACATTTAATAGCCACAGTGCCTCAGGTATGTTATGATTACTAAGCTACCTGATTATTAGGAAACTAGGATGTCAAGATAGATACGATGACATACCCATAAAAGAACAATTTTAAAATCATTGAACTATAAGTTATAGGTCATGCATGTGTTTTAATATTATCAAAATGACATTAAAGGTTCCATCTCATAATAATGCCAGCAAGGAGCTTATACCTTGATGCAGCACATACATCTTTACTTAAAGGTCCATTATAAAGAAAGGGAAAAGACAGAAATAAAAAATTAGTTGCTTCTATAATTTGAAAGTGCTGTTCATAAGTACAGAATTTGGACCAGTCTTAAATTCAAGCACTCTCACAAAACCTGAAGTGCTTCCATGAATCTTTCCATATCATGCAGAGATGTAAATGGTACATTTCAGAGTTCTACAGCCCAGGACATCAAGTAAGGCCTACAAGATGCAGGGTGCTTCCTAATCTAAAACCTGAATACCAGAAAGTTCCATGACTTTCTCCCATTTTGAGTCTGCACAATCCCAGCAAGACCAAGGCCTCTCAGCAAGACTTGCTTATATGCAACACTGCTCCATCACCTCCACAGACCATACAGACTCAGCTAGCTCAGCTGTTTCTGCACCACACTGCACAGAAATGCCATGGGATGCCTAATAATGCTAAGGTTAAACTATGAACAGTGCACTGCTTTTCTCAGTAAGGCTCTGTGCAGGTACAGATACCCACTCACAGCAGAATCCAACTCTGGTCATCCGTTTTCACCTGCATCAGGAATTTTCCCAGAACATGAGAACTGAAGTGTATGTGTGATATTCATAAATACTGTGAAACACATGCACTTTTAAGATGCAAAAGGATTTTTAAATGTTTTTTTTTTTTAATTTTGATTGAGCTAACCAAACAGACAAACAAAAGTTTCACATCATGCCAGCCTGGAAATATATCATCCATTTCTGACTAGCAAATCTTTTCTTTAATTAGGCAAATTTTGAAACAAAATTAGAAACTTCACTAAGGAGGTATGGAAATAAACCAGGATTTTTTGCCCCTCTGATTTTTTCCCTTTTTTTCTGCAGAAGCCGTTTAGTCATATCCAGGCTAAATTCACACATAGTTCCAGACTGAGGCGTTTTGCATGATCTTCAACTAAAAAGTTTCACTTAGCCTTTGAAATTACTCCAGTTATTTTACATATATGCCACTAGGTATCTGTTCCTCCCCCTTTTTAGATTTGAAGAAGTGCTTCATTTTCTGTTACAGATCTGCTCTCCTCTAGAAGGAATTCTGGTTAGAAGCGTGGAATTTCAATCGAGAGAATGGTTCTATTTGTCAGGACACATGGTTAAAGCTACAGGGTTGTAAAAAGCAGTTCATGCTTACATCAGTCACAGACCAGAAATGAAGGACACGATTTCCTGAATGCCCTGGACATTTCTTGATATCCAAGAGTTTTGCCTTTCCCATTGACCACAGTTCACCCCCAGCCAGCAACTAAGTAACATGCAGCCACTAGCTCGCTCCACCCTTCTCCCAGTGGGATGGGGAGAAGAATCGGGGATAAAAAGTAAAACTTATGGGTCGAGATGAGAATGGTTTAACAACTAAAATAAAATAAAATAAAACAATAATAATAATAATAATAATTGTAATGAAATAGAACATAACAAAAAGAGAGAGAAATAAAAGCCAAGAAAAGACAAGTGATGCACAATGCAATTGCTCACCACTGGCTCACTGATGCCCAAGCAGCGATCTACCCCTCCTGGCCAGCTCCCCCCAGTTTATATACTGAGCATGACATTCTATGGTATGGAATAGCCCTTTGGCTAGTTCGGGTCAGCTGTCCTGCCCATGCTCCCTCCCAGCTTCTGGTACACCTGCTTGCTGGCAGAGCATGGGAAACTGAAAAGTCCTTAACTTAGGATAAGTGCTACTTAGCAAGAACTAGAACATCAATGTGTTATCAATCAACATCATTCTCACACTAAATCCAAAACACAGCACTGTATCAGCTACCAGGAAGAAAATTAACTCTGTCCCAGCCGAAACCAGGACACCATCTCAGCCTTTCCTGATAAGGAATTACTTTACCTGTTACACAAGGTATTAAGTATACTGACAATATAGTGTCTGCAATTCTTTTTACAGTTTAGTTTTTAATTGAAAAAAATACCAAGCACTAATAATGACTTCAGCAATAATAGCAGAAGGCATTCACTTACCCTATGACAATGCAGGAGATGGCAGTTCCCAAAAAGGCGTAGGTTAAAATTGATCCTAAGTTACGAAAAAAATGTCTCTGGGGAGGAAAGTTTGAAAAAAAATCCTTTGTAATACAGTCAGTAAAAGACCTTTCAGACAAAGCTGAAACACCGCATCTAGAAGTGCCATTTGTTACAACCCATACCTCAAATATAAGATGAAACAATATAGGCTACATCAGTTATTCTGGAAAATACAATTTAAGATGATTAATTTTTTGCCTGGTGGAATGCCATCAAAATTCCCCCTTTTATGTATCTGGTCAAATGCTTCAGGATCGTAACAGAAGTTCACATTGAAAGTATCTGATGCAAACAGTATTATAACCCCATCCCTTGAACGAACAAAGTCCTAATCATGCACTAAAACACAGATAGGCTGCTGCCTACATGCAGTATCACCAGATTCAAAGTCATCTCTTCTGAAAACAGGAATGCCCAAGTGTTATAAACCGCAGAATCAAATCTTTGCACAGATATGGAAAGGGAGCAGAATGAGGTCTATGCACCTTTAATTTTCTTCCTTTCCTGTCAAGTTCTTCCTATGCAATATAATCATTAACTGACTCTTCTCTGGCACTGGCCTGTTGGATCTACCAAGTAGCAATCACATTCAGTCACTTTTGTAATACAAGAAAGAGACACATACCTTCTTTAAACTATAGCCAGCATGAAATATAATGGGTGGCAGCAAAATATTGAAGAAGATGGAAGGATCGAATGTCATCTGCCAGAAAGTACAAAAGAGAGGGTAAGGACAAATAAAGTAGCATTTAATTTGATAGGATAGGCTTTAATTGTAACTTCTTATCAGGATTAATCTCAGGATCAGCTTCAGTGTCTGCAGGCCATGACATTGTTCTGAATTGTTTTCTTACAAGTATTAATGTGTAGTTCATTACTGCTTATATATGTAGAATACTACTTGAGAAGTATTCCTTAAAAAAGGAAATCAGTCATGCATCTTACAGGGAACACATACAAGCAGTGTTACCTGTCATAGTATCTGCACCACCAGACACCCAATTTGTCAGTCCCATGGCTTAATTCCTGGTTCAGGCATGGACTTCCTCTACAGTTTCAGGAAAGACACATCATCAGTGTTGTGCCTCAATTCCCCACGTACAGAATGGTGATAAAAGAAAAGGCCTACACTACCAAAACCTATGTAATATTTCCTTTGAAGCATATCTATTTAGGCACAGACAGAGCTTGCTAATGTTGCTTAATGAACCACTGGCTGTCAGCTAGTATGTGCTTTCTTGAACTACTGCACATGAAAACTGTGCACACTTTGACCATCTTCATTACTTCAGCTGAGTTAACCTAAATGTGATAAAAAATAAGATTTTACCTCACATTTTTAGCAGGTAAGGAACATTCATGTGGATAGGTAATGTAGCTCAGATGTGACATAACTCATTAAACTATAATTGTATAATCACTTCTGCTAACCTGCCAGCACAAGTTTCTGTTGTCCTAAAGTTTCTCAGTAAATCTGTTGACTGCTTCTCTAGCATCATTTCCATTGTAACACATCTAGCAAAATATAATCAGTCCAATCCAGTCAATCAGTTTTGGCCTGACTGCAACAAAACAAGCTCTAGAATCTCCACAGTAACTAGCTGTTTCTACTTCCTACCAAAATGCAATTTAGCAAAGCACAAATTGTCCTTTTTGGCAAAAGGACTGCCTATACAGACATGAAATTCACCAATGGCATAAGCCTTTTCTTCCAGATTTTTATTTGAGGATTTTGTGATCACCTCAATTTTTAGCAGCTCAACTAATTTACCAGCAACATCCTCAGTTCCTCGCTGTTTTTTTCTATTTCTATACATGTTGACATTGTAAGTCATATTGTCACGACAATGAAACTGTAATTTGCTTCTGGTGACTGTTATCTGTCTCTGTGTTACTGAAGATGCAACATATCACTGTTATGAAATCTAAGAGGCACTGATGCTGTCCTATTGTCTACATATCTTGTATCTGTTTTATAGGCAAAGGGGTTCCTTATATCCTCAATAAGCTAAGGACTAGATTGAGTCATTCTGCAAAGACTAACTGGATTTTCTTCAAAGACATAGCTAAGGTGCTATTTGCTTTCAGAACTGAAGGTATGCTAGTGGGTTAGTCTCTTCACGGTTCCTGTTCCAAACCACTGGCTGGCACAGCAGGAGACACCACTTGGTCCTCTGTTACCCAGTTCGTTATACTCAAATGCCTGTGTAATGTCAGCCCCATCCATGTGAAACACACATTTTTGTTTCTACAACAGTTTATAAAATATCCGTTAAAATTTTTAAAGTAATGCTAGAGTGAGGATGATGTTAGGTAAGGCAAAAAGTTCTGACTCCAGCTGTTGTTGGTACACTGTTCCTATTTGCCTTCAACTTCAGGCACAGAGAGAGACCAAGAACAATGTTCAGTCACTGCAATTCATTACAAGTAGCTTTCAATAAAATAGTTTAAAACCTGTTTTAAACAACGCTGCTTAAAACCACAGCATTGCTGGAGAAAAAAATATTTTAATAAGTCCATGTACTGTTTGCTGTTCTGTCAGTGGGCTGTATTATACCAATAATTTTAAAAGCGACAGGATGTAATTAATGCAAAGGCTCGCAGCTCCTTTGTCCAGATAAAGTGATATTTTAAGGCTACAGTATTCTAGATTAAGTATTTAGCTTCAAAAGAGTAAGACCTGACTAAAAAATTACTTCTGTCTTCTTACTAACAGATAGCTTGATTTGATAAACAAGAAGTGACAGCTCAGCCTTTTTTTCCATTCTGCTTACTTTGAATTATAAAGTTGAAAAAAACTAGCTGGCAGATAACATGCCCACAACTTTAGCTATGCTGGTAACTTCAATGAAAACACGATAGAAAAAGGATTTTCTTCACTTATGAACTAAAAGCCTCAAATGTTAATTTTGGAATTAATTAAGCAAATACATTAAAATATTTTTTCCATAGGCATCACAAATCCTGACTGCATGTTTTATTATTCAAAACCATGTTCTAAAGAATACATGTTTGTAAGTCATGGCACAGTCTATTCTTTCTGATAAACACACTTAGTAAAATCTTATACTGAGGTCAAAAGGGAATTACAGTTGTACAAAAAAGAGCTTGGTGTGATCATGTTTTCTGTTTTTTACGTTAGTGCTTTTGCCAGTCAGAAAGGCTGCCAGGCATTGTTATTGTTTCCTAAATACTGTTGAATTCCTCCCCCTTTCCTTTTTTATTTATTTTCTTTGTAAGGGGGGCATTTGCCAGATGATTTTAAAGGAAAAAGGAGTGAAAATCCAGGCAGGCTGAGGCTTCTCCAGTAATACGGAGAAACACATAATTCACAGTTGAGACTTCTAAGAATATTCCAGCAAAGTGAGACTATGAAAAGAAGATTGGGCAATCCCCTGTCAGGGCAACAGAAACTTCTGTACAAGTTAGTGCTCCTCCTTTCTCATAATACAAGTCAGCTTCAGTATATCAGGTCTGATGGCGATGTTCAAATTTAATGCATTAGTACATATGCCTTGGAAATGAAACACACACTTGGACTAAGACAAACCTCTTGCAACCAACTAGCAGGAAAAAGGATGAAGATTCAGAAAAATCTGACTAGTCTGACTGCCACAGTATCTTCCTGTCTCCACCCACCACAGCTCTAATAGTCCTTAACAGTCTAGTTCTTTCTGAGAATGGCAAGTCTGGCAGTAATGACAGACAGGCACACAATGGTGCTGCATCAGCAAGGAATTTGGGCAGATGGTTAAGTCCTAATATCTGCTGAGTTCCCTGGTGTACATTCTAAGCATAACTTAAAAGTTTTTATAATGATAACCACTATAATAAACAGGAACATGTATTACAGTGCTAGATAAACAATAATACTTGGAAAAAAGCAAAATAAGATATTGCAATATTGTAAAAAAAGCAATGGTAAGGGCTTAGAAGCTTCATGTAAATATGTGATGTCTTCGAACATAAAATCCAGGTTTCAAAAAGTCCCTCTGCACTCATGAGTTCTTTAAATTGCTGTAATTTTTTAATAAAGTGAACGTTACATCAAATAAATATTGCAAGGGTGGGGAGAGAATATACTAACAAAGTAAAATATTTTAATATATACTGGAAAACAGAAAAGGCCATGACATTGTAAAAGACTCTGTAAACTTCCTCCCACACTTCCCATTTTGCATCCAGCCTGAATTGCCACAATGCTGTCTCCCCAAGCTTGGGGATAGCCAGTGAAATCCCCGCTGAGGACCACTGTAGTAGTGAATGAATGTATGAGAACATTGTAATGCACTTAAGCATTATAAACCCCCCCCTTATCTATGGAAGTTTACATACTTACAAGTTTGTATTTTGTAAAATGTTTAGAGTTTGTAGTTACCTCTGCTGTATACAGGAGGTAAAGCTCTCTTGCATTATGCTGCCAGAACAAGTCAATTTTAAGACAGAGGACAAATAAAGGTATCAGTGGGGCTTATAAAGTTTTGGCGGTGATGAATCCAAGGTAACAGCTGCATCTGCAAGTGAACTTGGTGTCTGCAGACGGTGGGACTGTCATCAAAAAGAGTTCTGGCAACTATTCTGCAAGCTTACAGCCAGTTGTATGCTAAATGATGGTCAGGTTTCTACCTCACCTTATTTCCCTTCCTGTTCTCCTTCCTCACTTACCCTTCTCACCCTAAATTCAGAATAGCTTCTCTCTCCCTGTGTCACGTTTTAGCTTGAAACTTGTTTTCCTCTCTCAAGGGTGTAAATAAAAGAAATATCTTACACAGTTTAGAACAAAAATAAGACCGGTTTTACCTTTTGAAGCATTGCATTGCCCTGGTGACCATTGACATTGTGGTGGCTGATCTCTCTTTTGTATTGATATTCATAGACCTGATTAGTTATATTAATAAGTAGAGTAGGTGGCCCAGATTTCAGCTTTTCACATTCATAAACAGTTCCACTTTCAACATCTGGTGCTTTTGTTGCGTATCTTATAATTAATCCCATTACAAGGCCTGGAGAGGAAAAAAAAAAAAAATCAAAACAAGCCAAAGAGATTCAGGTACTTTTAACTATCTGATGCTACACAATTACTGATTTGGAGAAAAATGAACTTTATTAAAGCTAGGACACACCTTCTCAGTGTTCCCACCTTCACAGAGGTACACCTCACTCAACACTTCATGGATGACCATATTCTTCCACAATGGTCATTTCATTAGAATACAGATGTTGGCTTGACATATGCTCAGTTGTACTCTTATTTTTGTGATCCAGTTGCTGGAATCATTCTGATATAGTTATTAACTGAGTTGCTCATCCACCGCACTTTCAATAGATATTTAGAGTAGGGGGATGCCTGTATAACTAATGTGCTCTACTAAGCATGTAAAAACCAGCTGTGCTTTTGGTGACTTTACACACTTCATTCACGGGGGCAAAACTCTGACACAGTGTTCTTAGGCACATTCTGCTTTCTGTAGAAAACTGTGTGTGGTTTTGAGACTGTATAAACATGGGAAAATAAATGCAGGAAGAACAAAAGGAAGATTAAGACTGGGATTAACTGGTTTGATTATCTACAATTTAGGACTCTTATCTAAGACAGACATTTTGGCTCCCTTTACAGTTAACAGAGAGGAAAATGTACTACTGTGATTGTCCTCTGGAAGGTACACTTCTTTCTGTTGGCTCTAGTGGGAGCCTGCATGATTACTTCAGGAGAGGTGACTAATATTTAGCTAGATAACATTACTGAGATTATTTCCACCCTCAGAGACTTGGGTTTGGTTTCAAATTTAATTTCCATGCTCCTTTTATGTCCTATGTGCTTTAAGTCCCATGTATATGATGAACAGCTTTACAGTTACTAATTATGAACACATTCATAAAATGCTAAGAATACTCATATTAAATATTGACGGAAGACATCTAAACATCTACATAGATACACTTACTAATGAAAGATAAGAACAAAATTAAATTACAGGAAATAGCTGATAAGCGTCTGAAAAATATGTTAAAGTTTTATCCAGTAATCAGATGCCACAGTGATAAAAGTGATCGTAAATGCCTAGAGCAATAGCATGTCTTTGTTACTGCCACAGTTTCCCATAACAGAGACTCTCTGAACTGCAGATTTCTAGCCTCCATGTAAGGCAGCTTCCTGGTCTGAAGCTACAGCAGAGTAACAGCTGTAGTGCTTGTCTAGTATTCATATGCATGTATGCTTGTTTTTTATCTATTGTTTAGTATGGTTGGCTTGTTTAAATGGTAGAGGATTTAGATAAGCAGTAGAAAATCCCAAGGCCACTTTCTTAAGTTATACAGCATTTGTGAATAAATCAGGTAATAAATGTAGCTGCAGTAAAGACAGAATTCTGTGAAATTTTAGAGGAAAGCATGTATGGGGAAAAAGGAAGCAAGCACTGCATGTGCTAATAGGAAATATGACTTCTATAGTGGTCAGCCCCAGATGTCCAAAATTGTGAGTCAGAACCCAGGAAACCATTAATTAACTAAAACAGTCAGGGTTTTCATCTTATTTTTATTAGATTTCCTCTAGAAAACCACATCTTTAATTTTCAAATTCAATTTCAAGTACATTAAAAATTCAACTTCATTTGATGCTTGGACAAGACTTGATGTTTCCTTCTCATTCTCTGGAATAGAAAACTTCAGAAGTTTTCTCTTTACCATTTTTGTTCCTATCACTCAATGTTTTAAACCATAGCCTCTGTTGCACTTCAGTTACCAGATATTACATAGACTTAATCAGCTCAGATAACAGAAATATTTTGCAGATGTCCAGCAATGCCTGTGCAAGGACACTGGCAGGAAAAGATTATTCAAGAACAAGAGTATTTGGCAACACAGTTTGTTAGAATCAGTATCAGGTCACAGCATGGAATAGGTTTCGAATAGTGAGGAGAAAGAAGTGTTTGGTTAGATGAATGTGCCATTACAACCTGTTCACCCATCCCATCATCTCCTCTTTACCTTCCTTTTCTTTCCTTCTGCACTCTCACTGTCTGCTTACCAAATTTCCCTGTTATGTCCCTCATTATCTTTCACATGATTCATCTGTGCCTCCCCAACTTCTTGTCTTGCTACATTTACTGGTCTCTAACATTTACCTGTTCGTTTACAGCACCTGTCATATTCACCTGCCTTTTTCTGGATAGTTTTACCTAGACCCTCACACTATGTCTTCCAGAATCATGTAGGACAGTAATCTTTTTTCTACTAGCCTTGTTTCTGTTACACTGGCAACAGTGAGCATCATGCTTATTTGTACAAGTAACAGTCGTCTTGCTGCATACAGAAGACAAGACTTTAAGGAAACAGTGCTATTTTTAACTGAGAGCTCAAAAATCATGAATGAAGAGATAAAAACATGAAAGTGATTTTAAAAATAAGAGTTTAAATCCTACTATTCAGAGTTCTTCGTCTGTTTTTAGCCTTTTGTCATGGTTTAACCCCAGTCAGCAACTAAACACCACACAGCCGCTCACTCACTCCCCCCCTTACCCACTCCCCTCTCTCCCAGGGGGAGAAAATCGGGAAAAGAAGTAAAACTTGTGGGTTGAGATAAGAACGATTTAACAGAACAGAAAGGAAGAAACTAATAATGATAATGATAACACTAATAAAATGACAACAGTAATAATAAAAGGATTGGAATGTACAAATGATGCGCAGGGCAATTGCTCACCACCCACCGACCTACACCCAGCCAGTCCCCAACTGGCGATTTCCCCTGCCCTCACTCCTCCCAGTTCCTAAACTAGATGGGACGTCCCATGGTATGGAATACCCCGTTGGCCAGTTTGGGTCAGCTGCCCTGGCTGTGTCCTGTGCCAACTTCTTGTGCCCCTCCAGCTTTCTCGCTGGCTGGGCTTGAGAAGCTGAAAAATCCTTGACTTTAGACTAAACATACTTAGCAACAACTGAAAACATCAGTGTTATCAACATTCTTCTCATACTGAACTCAAAACATAGCACCACCAGCTACTAGGAAGACAATTAACTCTACCCCCGCTGAAACCAGGACACCTCTGCAGTTTAACTGTTTACATGGCTTGTGCACATAATAACTTTCAGTATGGCAACATGGAACTGCTCCACGGAGATCAGTGGAGACCAGCCGACTTTGCCTTTACCGTCTCTGTCATACAGCCAGGTGGACTACTGTGTCCTACAACCTTCTGAGACTCCTCGTATGTCTGTTATATTGGCTAATACAGCATATACTTTGAACCAAATTAATTTTGATTGTTTTAAAAATGGAAACAAATGTTCTCAACTATAGTAATGCAGTTGCACTGAATTGTTAAAGGGCAAATTATTTCAACCTGTAGTGTCAAGTTTAGACTAGGAGTAGAAGGCTGTTCTTATTCTGTATTTTGAGAAGATATGTTATCTTCAGCTGTAGTCTCAAACTGCTTTGAGGTCCCTGTAGCTCTCAAGGAAATTCTATAATGTATTGAATTTGAACAAAATGTGGATGGGATCCATAATGATAGGCTAATTCAGAATATTCTCGAATGCTCTATGGAAGGTTCAGCCAAAGACAATTGCTATCACTACACTATATTGCAAGAATCAATATAAGTGATGGGATGGTATTCTTCCTTCAGAATTAATAAATGTGCCAAAGAGCCTATATAAAACCCCCAGTGAATTAAAAATCTGGGAAGAGAGTATTTAATATTTTAGTAGGTGTATCATTTATGGAATGCGCTTTATGCTTTAAATCATTATACAACATTTCTTTCATGATAGAATTCCCGAGCCAAGATCATATTCTAAAAGAAATAATTCATTTTTAAATAGGTGTATAATGTACTCTCCACTACTCCATCCTCCAAACTGAAATCATGCTTTTGTAATGAAACATTCTTTATAGTTCATCTAAAGAAAAAAACCCCCAACATTTGGGAAATACCATTTGGATGTATCTACTATGAAAAAAGACTGACTTCTAATTTCCTTGCAATCAGTGTTTTGTGGCAGAAAAATTAAACATCAACATTTACTCACAAAGTTCTACAGACTTTGGTATGTAAAAACATACCTTTTGTACAAATAGTTCTAGTTTCATACTGGCATGCACAGAAAACCTGGCTTTACGCTGTAAGTCTAGGAATTTAGCAGTTAAAACTCCCTGAATATGAGTTGGGAATGATGCTGCATCTGTTACCTGACATCAGAAGTAGGTATTATACTAAGATACTGGTTAGCATGAATGAAAAAGTTTCAAATAGTATTACATCAGTTAAGGATGTAGGTAATTATAAATGCAAACTCTTGTGCAAGGCAAAACTTGAGTGTACTAGCACAAAGTAGAGAACCTATCTTGTATCCTGGGAGTCCAAATCCAATTATAAATGTTTTCAGCTCAGCTTCCCCTTATTTAAGACATTTTCCTTCAAAACTAGTACCAAGGCTTCATTTAATTCATGTTTTAAGCACATTATTTAAATGCAGGATTGAAACAGAAAAGGGTGTAACATTACAGATTTCTTTTAAAAAGACTCAATTGTCCTTTGAAGTAAGATCTTGCAGCAAAATCTCACTAACTAGAGCTCAGTCATATTTCAACTGAAGGCAATACAGGTTTTCCAGCTTCTTCAGTGGAAGCAGGATAAAATCCTTAATCATAGATGAGAGCATTGGAAGGGATTTCTTAAGTCATTCATGCCAAACTTCTGAGCTAAACAGGACTGTTCTTTCCCCAAGATTTTATCTAGTCAGCTGTTAAATGCCTTCCTTAATAATGACACTCCGGGATGCAGTTTTAGCCACTACTTGATGTTCCCAAATATTTTAGAATTTCTTCCAAATTTCTTTGTTTGCCTCAAGAATGCTATTCCTCTCTTCACCTACCCACTACAAAATGTCAGTTTCTGCCTTGATCATGATTTTCCCATGCTTTCCTCAGAATCCTGACAATGTTTGTTCATTATAAGCGTTGTACTCAGGAAGACAATGAAGTACTCTATTTTACTGAGGGCTAGAGATTCCTCTTTCTGGGACTTGTTACATGCATTGCTGTCTGAGAATTAGGGGAACTCAGAACACACAATCAGAAGGAAACTACAATTATTTCACAGAAGAGGCATAATGGATTTAGGAGGTTTAAGAATCATATTGCCTAATCATTAGACACCTCCACCAAAGCTGAATCAAGAATTCTGATTGTGCCTCACTTCCAAAACACTCTGCATGGGATCCTCAGAAAAGGCTGAGGAAGGGCTACTGTGAGTCAGCTTTCCCATTGCACACCTGTCAAGAGCTGAACAATTGGAGGGAAGAAAAAAAAAAAGCAAAAAAAAAAAAGTGGTAGACCTCCAATCCCACCCCTCCAAACTTCAGGAAGCATCTCTAACCACTACAACACAAAGCCATTTCTTGTGAGTGGTTCAATGACTGTGTCCTGTCATTCATCCTTTTCATGTTTGTCTTTCAGTCTGATCAACTAGTCCCACAGAGCATCTTCATTCAGCCTCACCTCCACCCTAATGGGTATCACACATTCCCTAAGGGCAACAACTATTCAAGCTGAGAACTATTTCAACCAAAGTTGCTAATTAACCTAGCAGATAAAAGGCACAGATTGTATTAGTGGGTTGATGGTGGAATTTTTTTTTGTTTGTCTGTTAGTTTTTTTGTTAAAGTTTACTTCTGGCTCCCTACCTGCAGCAGTGCTTTAGCATCTTAATCAGAGGTAACTAGTGGCACCTGTATGTAGCTCTGATACCTAAATTCTGGGGAGGATGAGAAATTTGGATACTTGCACTCAGTTTTTTCTTGTGCTAGCTTTGGGCTATTTCTCTGCTAATGTGGAGGGCCATGACTTACGCATTACGTCGGGAATTTGGCACCTAAGGTTTTATGACTGAGGTATCCAAATAAGCCAGGCCCTGCAGGAGCTGGCTAATAGGCACTCAAGTCTTTTGTTGTCTAGTTGTCTATTGTCTAGTACTAAGAGGCCATCTTCTGGGGTCTGCTGCTAAGAGAGGCTAGCTACTCTTAACTGAGAGAAGTGGCATTCAGTTTTCATTACTGTTTGTGTAGATAATCTACCACACTAATTCCAACTATGCTGTCATATAGAAAATTGTGCTGATAAGTTATATAAAGGATGTTTTTCCCTTTCTGGGTGGCACAAGTTACTTTTTCATATCCACCTGCCTGCTTGATATACAGAAATCAAGAAGTAAGTTGAGTTTACTATTTGGGGTCTGTTTGTCAAACCAAGCTCCAGTGTTCTTGTTCTCTGATATACTGGAAAACAAAGGAATGAATAAATAAACAGGTAAGTCTGTATTCTTCTTCACTGTTTGTGAGTAATTTTTCAGTCTGGTGTCAAAACCAATAAACAAAATGTGTGTTTAAATACTTTAAAGCTAAATGCCTTGAAATGTAAATAGACATATATATGTACACTTTTTTTGTGTGTGCGAAATAATGTTGAATTCCTGTTGAATTAATTCTTATGAACTGATTTTGGGTTATGCTAAATGCTTTCGGTTTTTTCATTGCAACTGCAGAAAGATTTTTAATTTAAATATAGCTATATTTAGTGTTGAACCATTGCTTTGATAAAAAAAATTAATACATCTCAGTTTCTAAAGGGACAGTTTTTAGTGGGGCTTTTTTTTTTAGCTGGAACTATTCAGCCTAAAACTGCATTTTCCTACAAAGTTTATGCAAAAAAAACCTGCCAAACAACCCCTTTATTTGTGCTATACTTTAAATAGTCTTCAATTTGTGGCTGTTCAGCACTTTGCAGTAACTGTAAAACTTCTTCCTGTTTTTGTATTTCTGTGGTTGTTTCCCCCCCTGGTCTTCCTTATATTTCACTTTCTCTATCCTTTCTGCTGCTATACCCCTAGTGACACACTGTCTTAATGAGTAATACAGACCCATCTACCACACTGTGGGACACTATCTGCAAATAAGTGGCCATATTCTTCTATCACTTGCAGCAAAATTACTGGTTTCTTGTGCTGCTATTCATATATCTAGCAAATAGTTCAAGGGGCTGGAATAAAGCAAACCGTAGGGCAGAGACTTTTGGTTTGTACAAACAGGTATAAACCAGAACTGTTCTAATAATGAAGACAAAAAAATAAGTGAGAGCAGGATTTAGCTCACTGTCAGTGCTTGGTGACATGAAGATTTTCTCCTGAAGCTGCTGCCTGTTGATCTGACACCTCTATCATGAGCTCTGAAATTCCACTTTCTTTTCATTATTGCTATTCCACAATGCTAAAGATACCAAACCCCATATCCAAAATTTCTAAGGATAAAAAGGACATCATCAGCTTTTTGGATCCTATGAACAAGCTTTTTTCCCTGTTTGAAGGCTGCCATAAATAATGCAAGACTAAATAGATAGTTTATTTACAATCATGAGGAATATTTCCTTTGTTCATGAACATTTTAATAATTCAAAAGCTCTATACTGCTGGAGCACTAATCTTTTAACTTATCAAAAGAGTATCATGAGCTGGTTATCCTCGTGATGTGCAGATTATGTGCTGGGCAGGCAGCAAAATAGAACCAAAACACAGATAAAACTCCAAATACTGATTTATTTGTGTAATGTTGTATTCCCCCATATTTCATTTCTATTTTGATAGGCTTTTGTCTAAATCTTCAACAAATGTTGTCAGCTGCACATGGGAAACAGCACAATAGTGTAAAAGAAGCTACTATAGAAGTCACCCACGCAATGGGAAAAACATCATAATTTACTAGTTGATCATAATGAACATACTGCACAGTGTTTCATGGTTTTCCTTTTGAGAGATGCTAGTAAAAATGCAACAAGCAAATGTATTCTCAGCGATGCTATGTAGCTTGTACCCCGTAAAACTGTTAAACAACAACCTAGGCGATGCCTGACAGTGAAAACCATTGCATTTAATGAAGTATTTTGCGATGTGTATTTCAGTCTCAACTGATTCAGTTGAAGTGTGTTTTCTATGTGCAACAGATTTCAGGATTAGAAAAAGGGCATATTATCAAATAAATACTTTTTCACAACTTTAAAATAAACTCAAGGCAGATAAGAATTAAGAGATCCCACAGACCCAGGTGTTAGGGGCTCAGTGACTGGCTTTATACAAGGCTTTCTTGTTTACTTGCTCTCCTTCAAAGTATCAAGTCACCTGTGAAGATAGTAAGCAAGCCAAGAAGATGAAATAGCCTGCGTTCTTGAAATTTCATACAGTTAATTTATCTAAGGAAATAGTTTGAAAGGGATACAAGGAAGACTGTGATCTTCAGCTGCAGTCCGCCTATGGAACTGAGATGACCTTAAAATTCTTGATATAGAAAAAGCAAATGAAACTTTTATCTCAAAATGTAGGGGTCAGTTGCCTTTTTGTTGCAGGCTTGCAGCTGAACCTCTACAGAGTTCTTTGCGTGCGGTGTGCCATGATAAACAAATATTCTTCAGAACATGCAATTTTAACAAAACCAGTTTTGGGTATTACACTGCTAGGATATGTAATGTGCATAGAATGAGTCTGAGTCAAAACAGGCTGGCATTTAGATACTTAATGATTGAGCTGTTGATTTTTATCTTCCATTTTGACAGTGTTACCCTCCTGTAGGTGTTTTATTGTAACAGAAATGGCAGTCACAGGCTTCTCTCAAAGTGAAACAACAGTAAGAGAGAATGACAAGAGAAATCATTATACATGAAGTGTATACCATTAAACTAGTGAGTACTTATCAGTGGACAATGCAGAAAGTTCTACATTAAAGTGATACACAATATTGCAAAACTTCCTAAAAGAAGATTAGAACTAGACAGGCAAACTGAAATTACAGTACAATGACAGCATTCAGAGAAGACTTGAGAGAGGCATTCCTCATAGCATGTTTTTCAAAGGCACAGAGAAAAAACAAAACTCTCAAGATAGTTTAAACTTTATTAGACAACATGGCTGTATCCACAAGGCTCCTTAGTCTAACACCCTCAAATGCTATTAAAAAAAAGGCATGGAAAATAAGCAAATTAAACAGTCTCTTTCACTGAGGGCATTTCACTCTTTTGAAAACAGTAAACTCCCTAACTCTCAAAGTGTCATGCAATGGCTGTCTGCCCACAGAGGAACATAACGCGCACATCGTGAGGATAGCCAGCTCATGATAGTTGCTCCCTTAAGAACTCAGCCTCTCTCTACTTCATGAGAGATGCTATTACATTATTATTCTTTTACTGTACAGTTATGGAGCTGATGATATTTCATTCAGCACATTTTCTGAGCTTTGTCAGCACTTCATCTCAAGTGCCTGATCATAAATATGCGACTAGTCCCATGTTAAGCTGGCACTTGAATTTATACTCACCATAAAGCATAGCTCCTCCAGTTTCATGCAAAAAGCGGAATCGATGGTTTTTAAACAACCAAATTGTTAATATTGTAAGAATGAGCAGAAAGTTAAAGACTAGCAACTCCACAGCTCCCTGATGGTAAAACTGATCTTCATCTTTCACTGATACATATTTCTTCAACTTCTCCATTTCATTCCCTTTATGGAAAATATGTGCAAAATAGAAAGAAAAAAAAAAAATCGCAGGAAGGAAAGCGTTACCACCTTTGGTGCAAAAAGTCCAGATCCTACAGAAATTCACAGCGAGCACATCTGTTTCATTTGCAGCCTCATGGTAAAGTGCCCCAGCTCAGAATTCAGCTGGATTCTAGTTACAGCTTCCTGTTTCTCTCTTAAAGCTGCCCTGTCTCATTTTTAATGTTAAGGTTGCATCGCTGGACTGCACTTGCTCCAGCTGTAGATGTACAAAGCGCCTCCAAGGCTCGGGCTCTGTCAGTTTCTAAAATTCTGTTGTAAAACTTAGTCTGTGTTCATAATGTTTGTTCCTGTAGTTTACAGCATAATCTGAATCCTAAAAATCATATTTTGTCTTGATAGTTTAAGGTGAAAAAAAAATGACGTTAAAAGAATGGCATAGCAACCTTCACCACATTTTGGAAGTTTAAAAATCTTTCCTCTTTCCCAATTTTAAATGTGAGTAACATAGAGTAAAGGTGGCACTTTACTATGGTGCAAAGACAGAAGAAGAAAACAAAACAATGATTAAGGATTTCAAGATGTAGGCCTTGAACTTATATTGATCCTGTGTGAAAACTGAAAGATCTCTGTAAAAGCAAGGGTCCAATTACCTAGAATTAAAAGCACTTAAAAACCCCCATCAAACTGAATAAAATGCAGTGGAATTTACTTTCCATCATTTCTGCTGTTTGCATGTTTACATTTACATTACTCAAGCCAGGAAAACAGTAGAAATTGTCTTACTATTTATAGCTAATACTCATGGAAGCTTTTCTGTCTGAGCCCAAGGCTGCAATACATTTATTATACTGGAGAATTCCAAATAAACTCTCATCTTAATCAGAAAAAAAACCCTGATTCTGCTTCTCATTAAAAAGGGACAATCTTCTCATTATTTTTTGTCACAATCTCATAAAATGTATTTTTTTCAAAACATTTTGGGCCAAACTAATCTGTATAGAACCCATTCAAAGTCAGGTATTTGTCAAAGGTGAATAAAATAGAAATACCTAGATATCCATACGTTCAGTAATTTCAGGGCTGTAGCTCATTACAAGATGAATGTTCCTAAGAAAGCACTATTGCTTCAATCTACAATGTTTTAAAATAATTTTTGCTTGGTAGACAAACAATTCTTTCTTCTGTGTAAACTAATTTCATCACATTTTGGAAGTTTTAATTTTTCTTTCACTTTGTATGGAAAGCAATTTCCTTCTATTTTTTTTTAATTAATGTTTTTTTTTTAACCAGATTTTTTTTTTCAATCTCCATCACTGGCTTTAGTCTGTCCTCTCCACTGTTTCACTATCTTCTCTCCTTTGTGTTTCCCTCATTTTCTCTTTCATTTTGTAATTTTACCTGATAATTTGCAAACATAGTCAGGATTATTTAAGTCAAAACTGTATTTCTGAACTGATTATCCATGGAGTCTCTGTGAGATGAAAAGTTGGCAAAAAGCAGCTGATACTTCCCAAATTAATGAACCATGCAACTCAATTTCAAGTAAGGATAAAACTTTGATGTTAACCTGTATTTTCTGAGAATTATTCACTACTGTATTCTGAATGACAAAATAATGTGTAAGGGAATTAGATGTAGCAATTTCATTATACAACTGATGCAACTCTTTTTAAAATGTTAGTTACATAGCCAAGGATTATAACTTTTATAAAGGAGAAAAATAAAAATGAAGGCTTGATTTGGATATCATATTCACAGTTTAGAAATGACAGTGACCTTAACATTGTGAGACTGATCATCCATCTCCAATGTGCAAGTATCAAAAGCAAAACAAAAATAATTTGAAAATAACCACATTCAGTATCTATCACAATGAAAAACAAAGATTTATTTATTATGAAAACCAGAGTTCCTTGCTACCCTTGTCAAATAGGTAATTTGCAGGTGCTTATAATAGAATCAATGGAAAAGAAGCAGAAAACAGTGAAAGGAGGTCATTTTATACTGAGAATCTCAGTGATTAGACTACTCACCTCAGATTTGGGAGGCCAGGTTCAATTCCCTTTTCTGTTTGAATTTACCTAAACCCGTATGTCTCACCAGACAACAAGGAGTTCCTCAGTCTTACTGCTAGAGCAGTTGCAGTATGAAATATTTGAAATGCGTGTTAAATTTCCCAAAGCTGCATTTCCCCTTTTGCAAAATAGGGTTGTAATTCTGCCCTATTTCACAAGATAATCTGATGCATGTTTGTGAAATGATCACATGCTATAGCGATTTGCACTATGCCAGAGCTTAAATGGAAACAAGTAATTTTAGATTTAGTATCAGATTTGGATAATAAACGTATTTTAATTTATTGACCCATAACAGGAGGTGGAAATGATGGAAATTTCTGAGTTATTTTTTCTCTGTGTGCTATCCATTTGCATACTAGTCACATCAGTTACATTAAAAAAAACAGTATGTGATCATATTAATAAAAGGTATATTGCTTAGGAGCAAAGGGGAAAGAATTTATATTGCATAAACAACTTGAATTCTTTATTTTCCAGGCTTTTGCACTCTCTTTTAATATGAAGTATTTTAAAGTGTATTGAACATCCTGAGAAAAATATTAATATGCTATCACATATACAGTACAAATTGCTAGGCAATATATTAGTGGGCAAAAAGTAGTACAGTTTCCCTGGCTTTGATTCCCCAGTAAAGAATTTGACATAGAGATTTTAAGTGTGGTGGTTTTGGGGTTTTTTTTTGCTCGTTTATATGGAAAATTATAATTCAAGGGGAAAACCCAAAAATCTAACTTACATGGTGGTTAGATAACCCAAGACCTGACTTTGTTCAGGAGGAATTTTCTAAAAAATGGACACACTGTGAAAATAATTAAACTGTGTAGTGGTTAATCAGTCATGTTTCCGTGTGTGAAACTGTTTTAGGAAGAATTATAAGGTCATCAGAGAGAATGGTGTTTAGTGGTTTTTTTTCCTTTTAGAGAAGCTCTGAAGGCATTTTCAGACTTTTATGTAAGAAAAGACACCTGTGTCAGGAAAAGTTTTGCTCAGAAAACATCTTTGTCCTCAGGAATAAAAATTTAGACACTAGTAATCTTGCTTCAGACATCACAAAACCTTGTCTTTGTTGGGAAAATGTTGGGGTGTTTATGTTTGTTTAACTGGTTTTGTTTGTTCTTTTGTTTCTACTGAACTAAAAATCACAGGCTTGTTCCAAGATTTACTTTTTTGGTAGGTTATAAGATTCTGAAGTTTGAATCTTAACAACGTAAGAGCTTTAAAAAAGACTCTATCTGAAAAGTAAGACTGCATGTCCCAGCTCTACAAACTTTTCAGCGTGTGCTTAAGTCAGTTAAGTCACTGATTCAAGCCTCACTTACTGAATAGGTTTTGGACTTAACAAATTAATCTAGACACATAACAACCTTTTTCTTTACTGATAGTTAAAGGGGTATATTTCCTTAATGTTGGCATAATAAAAAGATGCTTATAGTTCAAGAGCTTATTGCTGTAATGGATGAGGGATAAATTACGTATTCTATCACTTTAACTGCTTCCACATTCTGGGTTGCATAGAAGTGAATTACTTTAGTAGAAAAAACCCCCCACACCTCTACAGAAAATAGCTAAATATTTCAAGGCAGACTTTGAGGATATATAACCATAGTTTTGGATGCTGAGACCAAACCTCTCTCTTTAAACTGTTGGAATATCTGTGATAGCCACAAAAAAGTTGGGAGAAATGATGTGAATTGTTTTTTTACTTCTTGCGGATAATGGCTTTAAACACTAGGCTAAACAGTTCTGTTCCTCCATACACTCTGAGTTCAGCAAGTGATTTTTTTGAATGCTTTCCTTCATGCACAGAAGTACAACACTAGACACTAGGGAACCATTGTAATCAGAGTTTTCCATTAGGTGAATGAAAGTTTTAGGCTTGCAGGTGTTAGACTTGGGGCTTAAATTCTGCTAAAGACTCAGCTCAGCTCCTTATATAATTTTGGGGAGATTTGGTTCTAAATAGCATTCATCGTGTTACAGGATTGGGCTTTTAGGTATTGCTTTCCTCTCAGAGATGCAAGACAATTTTAAATCAGCTTTCCAGACATAGCCACCCATCATAGTGCTGCTTATCAGGAATCCAGAAATGACATCCAAAACTGTTGTTTTTCTTCACGTTCTCAAACATTGTATTAATCCTTCACAGAGCCATGTACACTTGTCTAATTCTATAATTGTATCCCTGTCTGCAACTGGCACTCACAGAATTTTTAGCTTGTGTGTCCATTATGCCAAACAAACGTTTTCTTTTCTTTTTGTTTAAAGATAAATTTTGATTATTTGAAACTAAGCATTTATCTTCCACAAAAAATTATAAAATCTACTTTTTTTTTTTAACTCCATGTTGTTGGTTTTTCTCCTTTTTACATTCTAAATTTCTTCAAATGGCTTTTTGGTCAATATTTTCAATCTTCCATTTCATTTGGTGCATAGAGCATTCTCTGTGAATTCCAACCAACACATAAGATTTCTGATTCCTGGTCAAAGGTATTTCTCCAAATTATGTATTAAGTTTTTGGGGTTTTTTCCTTTCTAAATGAAATTCATAATTTATGTGGATTCTATCTTGATGAAAGATTTATCATAGATAGTAATTTTCCAGGGACTTTGTCCTAATGATATTAACAAAGTTCTGTTCCCCTCCAACCAGAACAGTTTAGCATTCTTAGTATGTATTTGTACTGTACTGTTCTAAAGAAATTAATACAGGTTTGCATCAGTGGACCTCTTTTCCACATATTGAGTTAATCTTACATTTTGGGGGAAGGAGGTAAAATAGGCTCATGAGTGAACAATAAGTACTAATGTTCATGAAGCTTCTAAAGAATCAGGTATTTAAAATGGCCATGTTGAAGCAGTATAAGTTTATCCACAGGTAGATCTTGGAAGAAATTCTTGTGCTGTGCTAGCAAGTAGAAAGCTGATGTTGCAGACTTTTTTAGTGACTGAGTAACAGAGACTAGAAACATGCAAATACTTTTCATCAGGTGATCTGTGCTAAGGGCCTGGGCTCAGAGAGAATATTTTTTTTTTTTTAATACAGAGAAAAATATCTCTGCGTATACAGCTGAAAAATATCAG